TGCCCTTGCGATGTTGAAATTTGTTAATGACCTACATTCGGTACACGAACTATGAATTCATCAATTGAATGTACATCGATGCGACCAAGCTTCATACAATACAGAGTGGGCTATTAAAACTAAAAGAAAATAATTTATTAAATACAATTTGTATAGAATATGAATTTATCTAGTAGTATTTGAAGCTGCACAGGGACAAGGGATGTAGAGAATATCACTAGAGTGATAGAGCATTACATTATTTTTATTCATAACAAAATTTAAGAGAATGGGAATTTTAAGCTATTACATGTATACCTAATTTCCTCAAAGTTTTCATAATTCCCAAACATCACAGACTAGGTCCAAGTACTTTTTTGGGTAGAGGAAATTAACATTTTTAAAGGTGTATCTATTTTTTTCTTGACAAAAACAAACGTATGCCCTTGTAATTTTTTTTCATTTCTTTCATTCAGTATAAGAACTCTATTTTTATACAACTCACGTGACAAATAGCTGACACATGCGAAATAACAGGTACTGTGTACGCCCTAGTCCAGTCCATTATGAATAACTATATACCATTTTCTACGGGAATTAAGGGGGCCGACTATGGTTTTATTGTGTGCATACTACAATAGCGAAACTCTTCATTTTTATATCATATATAACATACATTAAATTTAGTGTGCATGCCAAGTTTGGGCGAAATCTACCGTCTAGGTATTTTAAGGTAACATCTCAAAATATAAGTACATTTACTATAGGATTATATAGGAAAATGCCAATTTTAGCACTTTAAAAAAAATTATACAAATTCTACAATATACGTTTTTTTCAAACTATAATATATGATGAGTAATACTTTATTGTATATGTTGTGTAAGAAACACAAAATTCTACCGCCTTGTTACCAAAGGGGTCATCTCAAAAGACCAAAATTAACTAATTTTCCTGTTTTTATAGAGTACTACAATATATGACGGGCACAATGGTATTATACTAAAAATTATAAGAATAATGGAGAAATTCTCAAATTTCTATGTTTTAAATTTCAAAAGCGTATGTTTAATACTTTTTATTTAATGAAATTTTTATTACCCCTTTCTTTAAGAGCTTCAGCTTATCATAACGTCAAAAACACACTGCAACGACGTCAATATACCTATCGGTTGCAAAACTGGTTAAAATATAAATTATATAAAATTGTTAATACATTTTTGAACCTGTAATTTTTTAGTTTTGATTCATTTTATTAATCAAGTGAAAAAAGTTTGTTTAAAACATTAAATACGCTTCATTTTACCATGAAGCGCGAAATATTGCGCAATGGAAACTATAGTCAGTCCCCATAAGTAGCTTTGTCACAAGTGTTTAAAAGAAGTAATGTGTATTAAAACGGTGCTTAGGTATGTTGTGAGATGTGTATTGTTTCATTATGTATATAATTAGTAACATTAAGTTTCTTGAACATTCCAGAGTGGTCAACATGTTCGGTCATTTGATCTAGAACATTCTTAAATTTTGTGTATGTCCAGATTGTTCCAGTAATATCATGATTTAATAATTTCTAGAATATTCTAGATTTATGATACTGTATAAATACCCTGTCAATTCGATGCATAGAGAGACTTTGTCGCATAAGCACCATTGAGATACAATTGGGATATATTTTCACTGGGACACTCTGATGTATGTATTCTTAGATTCTTGCTAAGTTTGTACTTTATGATTGTATATTACTGTAAATAAATTATTGTTGAGTTTAAATTGTGTTATTGATCTTTGCTGGCATTTCGGGTAATTCTGACCCATAACAGGTAACATTTTCTATATTGGTCCTCAACATAGCCGTATTGGTCCTTAACATAGCCGCGTTAGTCCTCGGTTTAGGGGGCACAATTTTGAGGATCGAAGAATTTCAAAGAGATAAAGTCCCAATCGTTGCAATAACACCATTCCTCAATTTTTTTTTTTTTTTTTTTTTGCTTTAAAAATATATGCATGGTGTAGAAGTGCATAGATGGTTTAACGCTGGACTGCTTTCCGGTACCCCCCCCCCCCCCAAAAAAAAAAAAGAAAGAAAAATAAAGAAAAAAGGAAAGAAACGAACAAAAAAAAAACCCATAAACAAACACACATTAAATTAATACAATTGTTTAAGTAATAGAATATCAGCACACACAGCTTTAAAATAAATATTTTAAAAAATCTGTACACAATGATATGTATTGAGTATTTACTGTACTTTTAAAATTACGGAGAGAGAGAGAGAAAGAGAGAGAGAGAGAGAGAGAGAGAGAGAGAGAGAGAGATTTTATCAATTCGATACGGCACTACATTTAATATATAAGAAAATACAAGAGAATTTTTTTTTATCTTTAATGGGATTTTATTTCGTTTTTATTTACAAATTGTAGGTTTCCTTTTATCGTTTTTTTTTAAGTATAATATATAAGAATTAAATTTTCACCTAGAAACGACTAAAATTTAAGGGGAAATCTGGATTTAGGGAGTGAGTTCAGGAACATCCCCGCGCAAGATCCCCAGTTCCTCCCCCTTCTCCACCCCCCCCCCCCCCCCCCCCCCCCCCCGAAAAAAAAATCGTTAAGCTTGAGAAGTTCTTTGTGTTTACTTTTGTGTATATTTTATAGCCATTATAACTGGCTATATTACACGTTTTCAATCGATCGATAAAAAGATCTGTCTACTTCGAATATTAATGTTACACAGTTAAAACCCACCGCGGACAAGCCCAAAATTCCGGAACTAACACCCACTAAAGGGCTTTTTTATTTACCTTAAATAAAACTAAAGCGGCGTTTGCAATGAAAATTCTTGCAAGTATTGTACCACACTTATAACAAAATATGGGTTAGGTTTTAATTTATTTAAATATGAGTTAATTAAATAAATTTTGAGTGATCCGAAAAGAGGGCCACGGCTCTATGCTTAAGTGGAAACGTGGAAACATTTTTTATAGTCATGTCCGATTTATAGAAAAAAATACTTCTAACAGCAAATAATTATTATTTGGTCCAGCATAGGTTTTAACCTATTTAAAGTATGCTGAATCCGAAAAAACAAAGCATGTTGGCCTTCATGAAAATGGCGTTAAAGAGGTCAAAATGGCGATTCAAAATGTCAGACATCCAGTTTTTCTATTTTTTTCTTAATGTCGTTCAAAAAGGAGAAAAAAAGTGTGAAAATCTCACTGAGTGTAATGCAAGTATGAAAAATGATAATAAAATGCTACCATTATTAGAAAATTTAGTCGGTTCTACAATTAATACGAATTTTCTCTGATTTTTTTTGTTTATTGTTTCTATATTCTGGTTTGTTGAGGATCTTACATATGCATATATCCATACACTGCAGATTTGTATTTTTTCCTCTACATCTCACTAGTCTACAACTGAATGATGGGATAACTGTAAGTTAAAAGTCAATATAGCGATTCGTATATTTTTTCAATTTATTTCTTAATGTAGTTTACGTAGGAGAAAGGATTTGTGAATATCTTACTGAGCGTAGTACAACTACGTCAATTTCCAAAAGGGTCCGCTTCGGGTTTGCTTTCTGTTAGGTTGTGTCCGGTCGGTACTGTAGCTTCATGTAAACACTTTTTTTTTCTTTCCTAGATGATGAGAAACGTTATCTGATTTATATCATCTAACGTACATGTATAAAGAGTTGAAAAAGTAGAACCCCTAAAGATAACTTTACGGGTACTTTTTTTGCTATTCAATATCCTTATACAATGCATTAATACAAATACTTTTTACTTTTTCAAAACTTATTTGTCATTATTCGCAAATGAGATAGTGTACAAAAATGTTCTGTTAATTCCCGATGAAGTCATGGACATTTTTTCCATTCGTCAGGCGATGATAAAACGTTCACGACACCTGATCCCACCTCTGATGGTTTATAGGTCCATTTTTGCTTTGCTACTAATTTGTTTTGTTTAAGCTGATTTTTGAATTTGAATACTTTTCGTTATGTCCGTTTTCGTGGATTTTAATTATGCTCAGATATAATATGGACTTATTAAATTACTATGAAACAAAATTTATCCCAACAATTAAGAAGAAAATAAATTCGATTCGGCATTTTGATATACGGACGAAACATCTTATCAATTAGCAATGGATTATTTAATTTGTATGCTAAGTGGATTTTATTTGTATCTCAGTGAACAAAAATTGAAAGACTATACGATGTTTCATATTTGTAGTTCTATTGACTGTACACGATACATATTGTCTTGTAACAAATATATTCAGCAAACAAAAGGTTCTACCGCCCACTTTTCATGCTATAAAAATAATGTATCACATGCATATTATGTTTTTCTTTCACACTGAATGTTTATGCCCGGAGTACGGTCCTTTTTTTAAACTTAACCCTACTGTTGACAATTAAGACGATGTTACAAGAATTTACAAAGGGAGTTTAACGCAGATATTTTTATGATAAGCAAATTTTCATGTTATACATTAAAAAAAAACACTCATTAATTTTCATGCCCACAAATTGATTTTTTTTTTTGGGGGGGGGGGTATTAAACTTCGACTGGAATATTTCTTATTAATTCGAATCTGGTATGGAACAGTAATAATTCTCAAAAGACAAACTTTAAATGCAAATTTTGAGTAGAATAGATGAAAGATGAAAGCAGGTAGAATGGATTTCAGAGCGATCTTTATGGATCGGTCAAATGGAAAATCAATACATGTATAATATTATGCATTTCGTGTAAATTCATGTTTCTGCTTTTAAAGCCGGAGCCAAACATTCCTCATATTTTATTCAACCTTTCGAAGATATATGAAAAAAAACAAAATTAGATTATTTTGTTTTATTTTTTACCAAGCATATTTTTCAGTTTTTGAGAAATAGATTATTTCATTAAGTGGTAAAACATTTCTAGATTTTTTTTTATTAAAAAGAAATTCAGTCATTGAAAAATCACTGAGATCAAAAGCATTATTATGATTATAAATGAAAATGTTGGGAAAATATTTGAATATATGGAAGAAAAATCATTGATACTCTACAGTCAATAATATCTGAACATTAAAAAGTCATAATAAAAAAAAATCGTTGTTTCGTTATTATATACTTAAATGTTAGAATATAAAGAAATGAATGCATTCTTGATCACCATTTAGGAAAGCAGCTTGCAAATTGTAGCACACTTAAGGTTACAGTATGGAGGTGGGTCCTAATTTGTACCGGAAATATTTACTATGACGTCACACAAAATATAATGTCTTCAACATACCACAAAATAACAATTATATGCTATTTCAAACTGCTGGATAGCTATATACTTAACTTATATAAAATCTTACTATAACATGGAAATTTGTCGTTTGTTAAATCCTACACAACAGTATATAAACGATGCATCGATCGCAATGCACTTGTCAATGTGACGACATCTCACAAAAATTTCGCAGTTTGTACACAGTCAGAGGCTTATCAATTCACATTTTGTACAATGAAAAATGTCCTCTGTTCTCAAATAGAATTATTTTGCAGTTAAACAAAACGCTGTTAACTTGAATGCGATGTCTATTTAACAATTTTATTTATAAACTGTCCATATATTTTTCAGACAAGTGATATTCTCGTGTGTTTGTATGAAGATTCATTGAAAGAGTAACAGAAGAGCCCTAATAAATCGATCTATTGCAAGGGCATACGTATCTTGCAAAGTTTTTACACATACTCAAGAGACATTAAGCTATTTGAAAAGTGCTGCGAACCTCATAAGATTTTGAAAATAAATCAATTAAAGCTATATTTACTGTAGTTCACCAGTAATATATTGAACCTGCCGTCCAAGAAATTAAATTTTAGCAAGTAAAAAAGGGAATCTATATAGGTTTGCAGCAGTTATTACAAAGTACATAAAGTGTTGAAAAGGATTATTAATTGAGCTAAGATTTTTAACTTGGTTATGCCCTTGCACTATTGGAATTGATAGATGACCTCTAATCTGCAAGTATAATTGCTAAAATCATGTGACTTTGACATCACGTGACAATTCTAATTAAAAAAAATTTAAATGTCCTCGACATGTAAATTTGGACATTTCATTTTTTTCAGTCCTAAAAAGAATCGCCCATCCTAATAAAGTTTGTATTCTTTATCTTAAAAAATTGCCGATATTTCCATTTATAACCTTAACTGTGCTGTGATTAATGTATTATATCTCGAAAAACTAATTTGTGTCCTCAATGCTTGGAACATCATTGATATGGTCTATTAATCCTTCCTTGTAGAATCCTTGGAGAGCTTTATATCTGAAAAAGTTCTGGAAATTCTTCACAGATATTGATGACATTGGTCCAGGAACCGGGGTATACGCCAATGCTCCCAGTATTGTTCCATTGTTCCTCCTAGTAAGCATTGCTCCTGAGCTGATCTCGATGTCCAATTTGTAGAGGACATACATGCAATCGACGAATTCCTTATCCGGGGATTTTCCAAATGCTATCATTCCATAACGAGCTGAGGAATCGGCATTGCAGTTGTATTTCCACTCTATTATTTTGTACTCCCAGGTGTCACCGTAAAGGATTCCATCCATCTTTTGTCTCGTTTTCATGTCGATCCCTGAAATATTTGATATATAGACAATCTCGTAAATTTTAAGTCGGGACTTTTTAAATCTAGTGCCCTTATATCAACCTTAAGAAGGTTGGGTTTCCCCATCATTTATCAGTGTATGTTAAAACTAAACAAAAATGATTATTCTTACATAAAATTTAAAAATAGCGAACATTTGTTTAGTTTAAAGTCCTATTCATTTTTTAAGATATTTTCTAAAATTTGTACACTAATACAATTCAAGAATGTTTTTAAGTTTTGTGTAAGTTATTGGTGTGTGTGATTGGGCTTCCGTTCCATCCCTATTTTTTTTTGTAGCATTTAATGAAAAGAAATCAAGGCATTTAAGCTTGAAAGTATTGTTTTAATAACCAAATGTACAAAATTAGTTTGATAATCTCAGGAAATAATTGTAATTTTGTTAACAAAAGCTTTCTATGAACAAAAAGTAACCATTTAACAAAAAAAAAAACTTCATAATAGTTTGTTGGATGTCCTTTTTTTCTCTTGCCCGTCAGGTTCCGGTGTAACGACGAAAAGTGACCCCCGTAGAATATTGACCAGGGGGTCATTTTTCTACGTAAAAAAACATTCCCGACCAGTAATTCTACGACTCCACACACGTTGAAAAATGACCCCCATAGAAATTTGACCACCTACTTTTTTATACTATAAAACCTTATATCTATGTCTCCAGATATTTTTCATACTTTCAAATGTAATAAGGTTTTTTTTTATTTTATGTACTTAAATTCTTACCAACATATATCTGATTGCATATCTTAATAGCAGCATCACAATCAGTTTATCTGGTATGGATTTATTTTTGGCTTGGAGAATCCCACTGAAAAACTTCAAGAGTACTGTGCAACAATATATTCACGAAGAGCTGTGAATCAGATGTGGATACTAAAAAATTTCAAAGAACTTTTTGACAATTTGAAATCAAAGAATTTTTCCAAAATCAACAGCTTAATAACTTACGACTTTTTATATCATTGACAGATGCTTTTTCAATGAAAATGGAACTCGTCAATTTACTTACCTGGTCATTGGTCATTTGCAAAACTATTTTGTTAAAACATATTCTGATTGCACACACAAGTACTCTGAAGTTGACATAAAAAAGATGCCCAAGTTTCTGACTGACAATATCTATGTGGTCTTTGGAGACCAGGTCTTTCAACAATCTATTGGAATTCCCATGGTTACCAATTGCGCTCCATTATTAGCAGATCTATTTTCGCATTCATATGTAGCATAATTTGTGCAATATCTTATGCATGAAAAGAAGAAAACACATGCTGTGGCCTTCAACTCGACAGTTAGATATATCGTTAATCTTATTGAAAACACTGGGGGTCCTGCCCTCAAGCATCTTTGGTCATTTATATGGTCACTTACAGCTTTATGGCTAGTTCTCTCTCTATCATTTCCAATTCAGTTTCATTAAGTTTGGACCTATTCATAGAAATTGTATTGGCTTCTCTGGGAATCCTCACATATGAGTTATAAATTGTAGCACCAGTGAAATTTGAACTCTCTTTACCTCTTCCTCTTTCTTTTGGTAATCTTGGCGATGTGTCATTTTTAAGTATTGTCAATTAACAATGGTAATTTCTATTTCTACGTGGATACGATATATCCTGGTGAGCTTGAGATAAAAGATACCACGGAGACGTTTATGGTAATCTAACAACCAACCTATATGATGAACGTGATGACTTTAGCTTTTTTATCGTCAACTTCCCTTACTACCTTCATCATAACTCAGTTGATTCGACACGCAAGAGCATGCTCTACGTATGAACAATTTCTAAGGCGAGGTACATTATTAAGAAATAACTGTCTTATTTCTTGCGTGATAAAATTATCACACAAGCCAATCGATTGATCATCTTCATGAAATTAGAGGCTAATATAAGAGTTCATTTGTCCGCAAAAATTTGAACCTTGCCCATAAATTTAGTCTATGAACTCTTAGTCTATCATTTCGTTACTTAGATATCTAAAGTCCTAGGACATACCGTCCAAAAGTTAATGACAAGGTAAGAATTGGAATTTTTGTGTACAAGTGTGTCAAACTTCAAGGTCAAGTTTAAAAATTAAAATTGGTTGTTCATAAAAAAAAGGTCTTCACAAAAATATACCTGAAATGTGAAAGCCATAGTCCAAACCAGTCTAAAGTTATAGGCAAGGTTCAAATTTTTTAGGACAAATAGGCAAACAGACAGACGGACGGACAGGTAAAAAACTATATACCACCCAAAACTTTGTTAACGGGGGCAAAATTATAATATGTAAAGCAACAACTTTTTCGTAATCCAACATTGTTTTTGTTTCTATTGGAAAAAAACTCCCTAAAATCATCACATGTAAGTACATGTACATTTAGAACGGGGAAGACGATTCTACATGTGCCAATTTTTGGAAAGACGAGCACTTCCTTTTTAGTTAATCATGTTTTATGCTACAACCCCCATTGTGTTAAGTTTTTATTGACACTAGCAAACAACAAAAGACATTTTACAGCTAACCACTTTTTGTTTCATTTGTATCATAGGTCAGATTTATTTCATTTCGTAATTATTTGTTTTCAAATTAAATCATCCTTATCTTTTTATGAAAAGTTCGAAACTTCATTCATAGATAACCAAATATTTTTCTAAGATCTATTTTTTTAAGCTAGCGCCCCTTTTCGCGACAGTTTTAAAAGTAGGAATCAAAAACGTTTTAAACATTTGAAAAATAAAACTTTATTTTGAGTTTTGCAAATTATTAATTCAGGGTAAAATCAAAGAGATTTATAAGTAATTAATCATGGAAACTTCTTAAACTTTTTTTCTGACACCAGCGAGAAAATGACCTTTTTAAAGATTAAAATGACAATTGTGGAAACTTACTGTATAAAATGTAATATTGGATTCTATGAATGGGTGTATTTTTGCTATTAGACTAATTGCCTTAGAACATTTTGAAAGATATTGTTTTTCTTTATGGGGATAAAACGGTTTGTATTATTAATGTAAGGAATTGTATAGTTTGATTTCGTTACTTAAGCTTAAAAGCTTTAAGAAATTAACACTTCAAAGCATAAGGCTGTCTGATATTACCCGTATGCATTCATTTATCAAGAATATTCCTACCAAAAGGAATGTTTTTGCATCAAATAATGACAAGGGGTCATTATTCTACGGGTCATATTTCTACAATGCACACGGAGAAAAATGACCCTAAGGCAATAATTTCTACGGAAAAGTGGGTCATTTTTCTACGTAGAATATTGACCAGGGGGTCAAATTTCTACGTAGAAAAATGACCCCCGGTCAATATTCTACACGGGTCACTTTTCGTCGTTACACCGGATTGGGTCCTGGTGTACGGTGTTGATGGTGGCTTCCCTGGGATCTTTCATAAATCATATACAGTCCCAACTTCACAATCTGATATGCATGGTTTTCTCAATATGATTTTAGTGGTTCTAAAACTCTGCTCTTTTCTAAAGTTTTTAATGTACATGTAGGCCTAGTTGTGATATCGGCAACATTTAAGAGGCAGTCCACCAAAAAACCAGGCAATGGGTGGCACATCGCGTGTCATGGATTTTAATTATTTTTTGCATGTAGACTTATTAAAGCAAATGTTTACACCTGACACATTTAATATGAGGGTAAAAAGTACTACTTTTTTGTTGTTTTATATGTAACAGATATTCATAAGCTAGATGTGTCAATGAATATTATTAATAGCATAGACTCTTATCTTTTGTTTTCGAAATGAATAAGACTAAAATTTATACTTCTTTAGAAAAAAATATGTGGACAAAATTTGAGTTTAGAAAGTAACTTTTTGAATTCAGTATCCTATTTTCATTACGTTATAAAACCCAATACATTACAAGGAATTTTTTTTTCTTATGTCAGTATGAATACAAAGTACAAACTTTTGAGTCACTCAGTAAAATCAATGGGAACAGGTATATCGAGAAAAAAAATAAAAGGAGTCAAATTTTACTTTTTTTTTTATTTAATAATTTTCCCAAATGATCCGAACCGGACTCATCTAAAAAGAAAATACTATTTTTGTAATGTTAAATTTGGCTCTTTTGTTGTAATATGATTAAAATATTACTTTACTTATTATTTTTTACATGTTATATAGGTGGCACGTGCCTTTAGTTTGATATATTTTACTAATTTTGCATTATTATCGATTGAGATCGGTTTTAATTCAATAGGAATCGGTTTTTACTGTAGATTTTAACATCAACTGAAACGTGTATTCAACCTGAATAATAAAGCCAATTTTAATCTAAATATAACGTTTTAATGTGCAAATGAATTATATTTTGAAAACATTTTTTTTTTGTTAATTCGTTTAAAAAAATTCTTTAGTGTGTCGATTCTAAATATTCCATTAGGATTCCAATAAAAAGATGATAAGCAGATTTTCCGATGCCACTGGAGATAACTGTTACATCGCAAAATTTCATAAAAAACGTCTATATTTTTTGCTAGAAAACTACTACCAAAAGTGTTTTTTCCACCGACTTTAATTCTTGAACAAAAAGATGAAATATTTCTAGATTCAGATAATTGTGAATTATAGTTCTGGTAAAATGTATTCGAAATTATAGTTCTTTGTTTCTGACCTACATTCAATGGTTTATAGAGGGTAATTCAAAAATACAAAACACAAGGATATTTTACTAAATAAGCAATTTTCAAACAAATCTTCCATTATATTATTCCTTTTGGATTACATTGATATTGTTTTTAATAAAATATAAAATATTCCTCACATTCGACGTGCTGCCTTTTATTACAATTATGCCTTGTTTTTCGATGGACTGCCTCTTAATCTTTTAAAATATCTGGCGGTTTTCTCGGTTTGCCATTCGGTATTCATGTAGTTTTGAAACGGGGCATCCCGTCCTCTTTCCCTCTCGATTTCCGATTTGACTTCTTATTCTAACATGTCAACTTTCTTAGGCGTATGTTCTAAATATCGTAATTTTGCACACGTTTTTACAACGAAGGAAGATTTTTTTTTATTTAAAAAATGTATTTTGTTAAACATGTAAATCATGAAAATCGTTAAAAGAATTAAAAACATTATTGTAAATTGTTATCAGTTTGAATTTTACGACATGTTTAAGTACGAAGACCCACTTGGGGTAAAAATATAAAAAGAATTCATCCATAAATAGTAAGGTTTTAAAGTTTAAACCAATAGGCGTTTTATTTTTTTTTAAGTCAACGGTATTTTTTTAATGTTTTGAACTCGTCTGTCACTTATAACGTCACTATAAAATTCGGTAGACCGTTTATGACTAAACAATCAATTTATTTTCACAGGACGAACGTGTTTTACACATATATAAAAGCGTAATATTTAATGTTATATCAGGGCAAACATTAACTAATGTAAATATAAATGAATGAAAGTAGCAGACCAGCAATCTTTCCTTGCAAGCATTGAAACGTTCATCTGTTGTGTTATATAATAAACTAGATTTGATTAAAAAAAATGTCTTTCAAGAGACTGCAATTACCTTCATAACTCGCCTCGAGATGATCAAGAAACTGTGAAATATTTGCCATTGGTACACCACGACTTTGCATAACTTCACAGCCTTCGTGCCATTTATGAAATGATTCCGCCTCTAGTGCTCGCTCCACCTTCCTAGCATCTCTTCTTGAAACCTTTGAGAATATTTGAACTAATTAATCTTTCATTTGTAAAAAAAGAAAGAAAGACATATTAATTGAACTTTCAAAAGAGCGGGCAATTCTATCATTAAAATTAAGATACACAGAAATAACAGGTAGAGAATTAGAATTACTTTCACGGCGTTTAAAGACTTTTGCAGTGCTTCTTGTGCAGAATGCCGAGAACCACCCGCAGCACTGCTATGGCTCCTTGATTCGGGCTTGGATACAACTTCTGACATCTTAATGATTTACGTTCTGAAATTGAGATGAATAAAAAAATAGTCCATTATTATAACATAATAAAATGTTTCAATTTGACACACACTTATTCGTGCTAAAAAGGATTCTTCCCTTAAACAAATAGCAATCTGAAATTTAAAGAATATATATATGTTCTTAAAGAATTTTAAGACATAATGACAACCAACCTCCGCAATACCCTTGCTTATGAGTGTTAACAAAAAATATATTCAGGTTGTATATAAAGTAAAGAAAAACACGTCATAGATTTTAAATCACATGATACCTGACATAATCTAAAGCGATTGGATAGCTTACGAAAAAGATAAATGAAACAAAAGTAACCTATTTGAACAATGTCGTATGACAAATTACTCACATTGCAAATTTGAAAAAACATAATGGGGTAAGGATAACTTCCTTTCTAATGACATGCATATAGTATTTAAAGTTGATAAAGTAAGGTGTCTCTATAGTTGTTTCAATCTTTGATGTGATGCTACATGTATGTTAGTTAGCATTTACAATAATATTGTGATTCCTTTATTTAATTTTATTTACAAAGTAATGAATATGAACACGCTTGAAATGATCTGAATATGATATATGCATTGTGAAATAACGCGTTTTAGACAATGATAAAAAACTAAAGAATACCAGAAGATCTTAAAATATTACTTCCTGTTATGACAGAAGTCTTGTATTGTTCAGAGACTTTCCTTTTTACAGTTTTTTTTTATCTTTAAAGAAAAGTATGTTGATGATGAGCATTTGTCAAGATTTAAAATCCATTAAACTAGACAAATTTTGAAGCAAAGCAAACGTGAAAAAAAAAATCAACATGGATAATAATTACTGCACCTTTATTTGTTTACATTACTTAAAAGTTTTCTTTATTATCACACAATCTTGTGATCACAGACAATCTTGAAAGTCCATTTACACCCCCTTTCACGACGGCCGCTCGTAAATGGCTTACAATTTATTTTTCTCGAATTAATAAATACTGTCGTCACAAATTAACTGAAACAAGAGCATGTCAGGAATAATTAAAAACTTATAAACTTAAAAACAAAATAGGATAAAAAAAACACGGACCTCCAAATCATCGGAGATGAGATCAGGAGCCATGGAGGAGTGAGCATCCCCTGCTGACCAATCACATCCGCTCCGTGCTCCTAGCAATGTTCGAGAAATAAGTGAAAAAAATCCATCGTCAATTCATGTATGAATAATGAAATAACAATTAGTACGAAAAACAGAATTTGACTCAATGATAAATTGTATTTGATGACAAGGTCATCCTCAATTTGTTTGTCATTTATTTACATCGTTTTATATAACATGTATAATGTTGAAGATTTTATGCTGTTGATTTTGGTAAAATCGTATGATTTCAAATTGTCTAACAGTTCTTTGAAATTTTTGAGTATCCACATCAAATTAACACCATTTCCTGAATATAGAATAAATGATCATTGATTACAAATACACTAATAGCACACAATACAAAGATCAAAACTAACTAAAACCTGTTATATATGCAGATACTGTGAAAATACACAAATTCTTAACTCAAATGGTTTAAAAAACTGAAACCACTTAACGATCTATTCTGCTGATATGCGGAAAAAAAACGTACATTACTCCTTCCACATGCTTATATTTTTCAGAAAGTGTATTATCAAAGGAATAATTTAAAGACAAGAAAAATGTTTCAGTGATTATCTAAGAGAGATTCAAACCATGGAACAAAGGCCAAAATAGGGCATGCGAAATTTCATTGAAAAAGAAATGAGACAATAAAATACCACATAACCTTAAAGATACGATGAATTCAAACTTAAATTGAAAGTATTGCAACATTGATTTTTAAGCAAAATTTTAGCAAATAAATACCAATTAGATAATTTGTACTCAAAAATGTTGTTCACCGGTGTCAAATTTAGGCAATTTTCTTCCCTAAAAAAATCTCGAAAAATCAGAGAAAAACTTATTTCTAAAATTAAACTTCTCCAGAAAATTGTTGTACAGTTTCTCTAGGTATTATGGTTCTTTTTCATAGCAAGAAAAGTAGGTGTAAGTGTACATTTAAGAAAGTTTTTATATTTTTAACATTCCCACCCCTTTTCCCTTTTCAGCATTTAATGAAAATAAATCAAGGCATTTAGGCTTCAAAGTATGTGTTTTTATTCACCAAATTATCAAAATTATTGTGAAAATTTCAGGTTATAATTGGAATTTTGTTCACAAAAACAAAAAGTTATCATTCAACAAATAAAACTTCAAAATAGATTGTTGGAATGTCCTCTCTCTCATGCCATGCAGGTTCTTGATTAGGTCCTGGTGTGGTGTTGGATGGTTGCTTCCATAGGGATTAGTCAAATCCAGTCCCACCTTCTCAATCTGATTGGCATGGTTTTCTCTATCTGATTTAAGTGATTCAAAATCCCTGCTATCTTCTAAAGCTCTTCATTTGTAATTCTTCAGAAGACAAGACTTTGGGCTTACCTGTAAAAATAATTTAGAAAAAAATGGATTATAATTACTGGTAATATCATTTATCAACAAATTAAATTATTAAATTAGAAATTATTTTTGTCTATCTGATTTTGTTTTTATAAATGCTAGCCTATAGTTTAGACCTTAATAATTTCTTCATGCTCTATATGTATGATGTTTCAGAAATATTCATTTTTTTAACCAGCATAGGCCGCCATAGAATGACGTAACCCAGTTTCTTATCGATTGTTAACAGCTAAAAATTATACTAGTAGATTATATCTTTTTATTTTCTTAGGTTATGTCAATAAATTTGGGATAAATATTCTGCATTTACACTATCAAAGGATTATTGTTATATACTACGAGCTAAAGTTGCAATAAAAAAGAAAATACGAATGCTGTAGTCTGCAAGTACATGAAGACCCATTAGCCTAGCCTTAGGCCTACGTACATGATCATGTTACATGTTTATCCTGTGTTTGAGTTGTGATGTGACGGTATAATATGAATTTTTAAACTTTTGTATCTATAATATATAAATATTGCTATTTTCAAGTTTAAAAGCATTGCAAACCTGCATTTTCGCGTTTCCGCTGCTACTGGAACGTCGTCAACACCACACTTCGACGCTGTTGGCTGACATGGTTGGGGACCACTTTCAAGAGTGTAAATGTAGGCTTAATTGTGATATCGGCGATTTTTACTGTTTTAACATTTCTGTCGATTGGCCAATTGGCATTCCTGTCTCTCTCATCTTTCTCTCTCGATTTCAACACCGCGTCAAGTAGAGAGATTTTTTATTTAAAAATGTAAATAGTTAAACATGTATATCATTAAAACTTGAAAAACATTTAAATCTCTATTGGTTATTGTTATCAGGTTGAATTTTACGACATATTCAAGTACGAAGACCCATTTGGGATAAAATGATCAGCAGAATACATCCTTAACTAGAAAACAGAGTGCACAGCGTGTGCACATTCTGTAGGATATTGCATGGAACATAACAAGCATGGATTATACTGTTTGCAGTCTGAACAGTGATAAAACAGTACAAGTTGCTGTCCTTTAAAAAAGGACTACAATACGTGGACCATATGCATGTGATTCTAACTGAAATTCAATTAGGGAAAATTTTAGGTTTAGGGAATATTTGTGTAGGCTCCTTCTCATTTCCACAATGATCTGCCTATTTTGTTTGATAGCTAGTTCATTCATAGCAAAACTATTAGACTTTATCTCCGAAAAGTCTGTAGTTTTCTAATTTAAAAGTCGCTTTTTTTCATCATTTTTTATACACATTTAACCCTGGCCATATATCGGCTGGGTCTTGACATCTGTTCTGGATTTATACGGAAGAAATCTATTTTCGGACAATAGCTATGACGGTAAACGTGTAGTATAGCTCTGTAGTGCGCAATTTTTTTCGGACCCACCCCCCCCCCCCCACCATCCCTTCCCTCACATGGAATACCGTTGCTACAGGCATCTATCAAGCAGTATTTGGATTGCTATATGTTAAATTATTTTGCGAACCTTGATACACAAAGCTAATGCCGGTGAAGATTTGTTCTATCTTTGAAAAGTTATAATAACTTTGTCGTTTAATGAAGTTAACAATTCAATTTGTTAAGTTATCAATAGTACATATATATGCTATTACTTATGAATAAGTTCTATCTACTTTTTAAATTCTTGTGCCTTAGAATCAATTTTATTTCCACGTAAAACATATATGTTTGACAGAAATTCGAATCCGCAAATAAATATATAAATGCGATATGCAGATTTAAAGGCAAGATTTGCCAAAGAATGGCATATTCTAATTCTACTAGGGCGAATCATTCTACGAGCAAGTTGTCTTATGACAAACTCTCTAGCATTCTCGCGCATGCTTATCTTGAAGTTTGCCCATGGGATCCGGTTTAACCTCGCTTATATATTTACTGCGTGGACCTCAGGGTCCACGCAATTAGACCTGTTTTCTTACAAGGTTCTATGATTTCAGCTTAACATGTAAAAAAAAAAAGAATTAACTTTTCCTTCGTGTGAAATGCTTACGGTTGTAGTGGGAATCTTATTAAGATATTCGACTGTAAAAGTATTTAAGTTCCAGTCAGGCTAATGAACTTCTAAGGGGGAATTACTAGAAATTGTTAAGACTGATGGTTTATCTTGTCACGGACCCAAGGTAATTCCGTGAAAATCAATGTCGCTGACAGAAAAAAAATTTTTTCCACGTTATAATTGAAAATGAAAATCATTTGAATTTCTTAATTGAAATAGAGATTACTTATGATCACAGATGACCTTGTTCAAAAATCTTTCTGGACAGTACAAGATCTATGGCAGAGACATAAAAAACTGAAACTGAGATTCACTGGAGGCTCCTACTTAGTTCAAAGGTTGTTCACATAAGAAATTGCTATGATCTTGAGCGAAGGTCGGTACTTCCTGTCCACAGCTTCAACGGAAGACCTACTCTTTGCTTTGA